TGAGGTAGGGGGACGAGGAACACCACTATCACAGCTGTGATTACAGTGGAGAAAAATAATTCCTAAACTGAATTTAAACTAACAAAGCTGGGCATTACCCTCTCCAAGTCTGTGTCCAACTTATGTTTCACAGCTTGTGCTCAAAAATACTGCAGTAAAATGACTAGTGTTTCCAGAGCTGGCTGATTTAAAGCTGCTTCAGATACATCTTTGCTCTGGTCACCATTATAAGGACTGCAGCAGATACATAACCAGAGGAAGATAGAATAGATTTGTTTTCTAAGCAAAATAAGCTACTCCATCATTTTAGGCCCATCTCTTGGATCAAGATAACAACTATTACTCCTGCATTTCACTGTTGCAGAGCTGATTTGGATGCAGTGGATAATGAAAGAGAACTACTACCATGGAACAATATAATCAAAATCATGCCCTTTTTCAGGTGGAGGTGAATAAAAAACCTATCACGTTGGGCCTTACATTTATATAATTTTATATGATTTAAAGTAAAGGTGGTAGATGAACAATGACTGAAATTTATTTGGTTTTAGTCTGACCAGTCTCAGACCTACCTGAACAATGAAATTCACTGATTTCATAAACATGTGTCTAGATAGCTCTAATGGGAGTCTTTATTAAATAAAGAATTACACAATAAAATATGGATTTGTTCCTTACAGCATCACATGTGGTTTTTTTAGCATAATCTGATTTCTATCCTTTGCTAAATAATAATTTTAAAAAAGCATTTCACTTCAATTCTGAACATGTCTGTATTTTTCCGGAGCAATTCTTAGAAAATTGCAAGAGGTTATGACTAAGGTCATAGGGACCTACAACAGTGGATTTCCTTATGGTATAAAATAAAGATCTCAGAATTGCAAGTAATAAATACGATTTTGATAAGCACTTCTACACAGGAAAATAAGAAATTCCTAAAAAGTTTTCTGTGAAGCACCTTCCTCTTCATGTCCTGTATTACTCTATACTTATAAATAATAAAAAAGGAGACTGATAACAGTAGCTTTATGTAAGCAAGCTTAGAAATCACGCTCAGATAAGTGCTTTTGACCTAAATCTTGTAGCGCCTCGATCTGACATATAACCCCACAACTGTGAAATTCTGTATGAGATTTAGCAGTTTGAAGCTGCCAACTGACCCAGTCATAAAGCAACCAGAGATAAGGATTTAAGGTACGATATGATACAATTAGACATTCACCTTCTATTTATTTCACCCATTTCAGCATTTAACCTACTTAAAAGTTGCAAGCTTTTTATTAAAATGTAAATGCTAGTGTGCCATATATTTATAGGCAGTTAACAGCAACAAGAAAAGACTCTCATAAATTAGATTTCTATGAATGAAAAGGGTAAACAGGAGATGTTTCTGCAAAACTCTTCTAGACGTGCAGAGATAAAGGATGGTTCCACCACACAAAATAATCAGATACAAAAATAGCTGTTCAGAAACAGCACACCTAAGGAGTACTTTAATCAAACATTTAGGTTACCTGCCAAAAGGACCATGATCTCTTCAAAATGCAATGCGGATTAAAGTGTTATCTAACACAAGCAGAAAACTAACCTTGGAGTGGAAGTTCGAAATGTGTTCATCATAATTTTCATGTCTTTGGATAGAGAAACCAGCTTTTTCAGCTAGATTGCAAAACTGGTTTAAAGTATTCCCTCGGAGTGGAGCAAATACCATTGCTTTTCCCTGGAACATTAAAAAAAGAGAATTTATACATTTTTAAAACTGGAAAGGAACCAGATATAACACACACCTGACTAAGCTTTTAATATACTCAAGCTGGAAAAGTCAATTGTTCTCTCAGTAAAATTCTAAAATAGGGTAACATAAATAATTGTTCAAAATATGCAAGATTTCTGTGATTAAACAAATACAAAATAGAAATTAATAAATAAATATTTTCTTTAGAAAACTTCCAACTGCCATAAAACTGTTTCTTTTCATGTAATAAAGGTGGCTATGAATTACCAAAATAAAACACAGAAAAAACACACAAAAAATAGTAAAAAAATCCATTTGTTAGCTCATGACCATGCAAAGACTGTAAATCACAATTATTTTTTTTTTCTCATTCTCACACATAGAAGAGTATCTCTCATTTTCTGTCACTGGAATTACAAAAGTGTAAGACAAGGCAAAATGGGAAATATTTTTTAAAAGATATTTTAAACTACCTAAGCAGTGCAACTGAATTTGACCTTAAATTGGTAAATTGCACTTAAAGCAATACTTAATGTTCTTGCATAGTAATTCTGGATCTTTCAAGATGATCAGGCCATTTACGATGCCCAGGCAATACATTATGGTACATTAACTAATTTTTTGTTCATCCTTCTGTATTTAAGAAAACAAAAATGACAGTACCTTGAACTGATAGATTTTAGACACTCTGTGCAAAATACTAGCCCAAAAGCTAACCTACTTGATACGGCATCTCTTGAAATCTTATTTGCAAAATTAATTCTAATTGGCTGAATATCGTGTTCTGTCACATGGAATGAAAACTGGTTTAAGAGCTGTAAACAAAGGTTACTATCAGCCAACAGCATATCACACTGAGGGGAGCCACAAAGTTTACTGAGTCCTTACACTTCTATATTAATGAGAGTTAAGACTAATTTGTGAGGTGCTGTAATCAACCAAAGAGACCAACAAATATTTTTAGGGATTTGAAGAAGTTATAAAATGATGAGATGCTTTAGAAGAATATTTGGCTTGAGAAAATGCAGTCTTGTATACGACAGGAAAAAAGTGGTCAGAAGGGTGAATTTCAGTGGGAACTCTGGAAAGTGAGGACGATAGGGAAAAATCTGTGTTACAGCTCATGCACACATACACCAAGGCAATGCGCAGTGAGGCAGCAATAAAAACTCTATGTCACTATGGCACTAATGTGTACTTAAAAGACTCCAGTCATTAATACCACAGTGCTGTATTTATTCTCACAATGCTTCTGTGAGACAGGGAAATACTGTTCTCCTCATCTTTCTCATGGGAAATTTAAGGACAAAGGAGACCGACCTAGGGCAATATCTGAAGCAACTCCCTTCTGTTCATTTGTGTAGCTCTAACTTTAACTCCATGGCTAAATATGAGGTGCAAAGGGGTGTAACTCCCACCAAAAACACTGGAATTGCTTATGTAAATGTTAGGTCTGAATATAGGCTCAGCTCAGGATGAAAAACATTAAACACAGGAAATTCACAATCAATGCAAAATGTGCTGTAACTTCCCTCACATCCTCAGCATGCTTTAATGTCATCAGACAGAAGTGGGCAGCAAATGGAGCCTTCAGCCAAGGATCCTCCTCCTCCTGCTGCCATCTCCTGCTCCCCAGAATGTTGTTCTGCTGAGAATCTTCCTGCATAAGACGGTTGAGACTCCTCCTGAGTCCCTCATCTTTATGGGCAGCTTCACAGAGAGGTCACTGTAATGGGAAACGTCTCCCATCCAGGAGAGCACATGATTCACATAGGGTTTAGCTATTCAGGAATGGCTAAACCACATGAATGGAGATGGCTGGGGGCCACACACCCTACATCGGCCACCAATCCAGCAGCTTCAATGAGGAAGCAATGCTCATACAACAGCATCCCCTTACAGATTTCCATTTGGAGTCAGGATGTCCATGTGGTCATTTCTTCTTATACTCTCTCTAGACTATATCAAATTTAATTTTGAAGAAAATTACAGTAAAATAAAACGTAACATGGTATTAAATATCTCTTAAAACCAGACTGAAAGTCTTGAAACAACTTTGCAAAAGGGGAATAGCCTTTTATGGAAATCACTACACAGTTACTTTTGGCCAGCTCCTTAGTTTGTGTAAAAAAAGCATGAATTTAATGTGCATCTAAAACACCTGAGAATCTTGTCCTTGCTGTTAAAACCCAAGAAATCATGATCAAGTTTACTACTACAATAATCTCCTCAAAACTGGCATATACTGTGGAGGCATTGTGGTCAAATCTGGTCTATCATAATCTGGCTTTAAAGCACTTTCTTGTCAACTGCCAGATCTCTGCGATTCTGCTACCTGTTGTGCGGCCGCATTCACATTTCTAATTTTAAAACGTTTCTCATTTCTCGGTTGCTGCACAATAACAAAATTAGACCAGTGGTCTACATCTACACTTGATGGATGAACTCAAGGTTGTTCAATTCTAAGCCTGTAATTCAAAAGTGTCTCTTAGTTTAGGATGAAGTTTAAAGTTCAGAATGGCCTTTCCCCAGCCAGGAAAATACTTCCAGTAAACTCGTGAACAAAGCACAGAGGAAAATGTCAGTTTCAACAGTTTGAAGTGTCACTAAAATGCTGCAGTGAGATAATGGGACAAGCGTTCACATTTTGGACATGACTATAAGTTTACTCATCAATCATTATTAAACGCAGTCTTATCTGCTGGTACTAATCATGGCTAAATAGCACTCAGTTGACTTCATTAGGATTTTGAATGGATAGGCCATAAAAGAATCAAAGCCTTCAGAAAAAAGATTTCTTAATTGGAGAAATATGCAAAAAAGCAACTGCTTATTCTGAGATTTAAATTAAAAGTGTATTTTAAGGATAGGAAAATATAAAAATAAATGCTGGCAAATCAAGTAGCTTGCTTATAAGAGAAATAAAATACAGCCATTCAAGATAAATTTGCCTGATGCAAAATTTCAGTGCCTAGTTCTTGGAATTGGTTTACAGATGACATTTGCCTTTGTAACAATTTCAGATAAGAAATTTCAGCCCCCAGCAACACCATGAGCTGCTGATTTCTGTCTGCGTGAATTTCTGGCCCTCTCTTCCTGTGCCAGTACAACTGTCCATGGGGCCATACTATGAATCAGATGACTGAAATGACCAGAGTCCTGTCTATAGAAAAACAAAAAGTTACCCAAAACACATCATTGTGTGCTATAAGGATTCTAATAGCCATAAATAGCATCCTTAATGAAACAGGGAATATCGCAGATAACTTTATCTCGTTTTAAACTAACAGTACGAATAATTACCTGTTCTGAATTTCTCCTTCAAGATAGCTTTGTAAGCATCCCCATTATTTTCTCTTTACTCCACTTTTCCTTTTGGTTTTGCTAACTATTATTTTTCCTGAACTCTTCTATCCTAGTTGTATGCCAGTTACACTTGAAAGACATCTTACATATAGATGTGTCTTCAATTTGAGATCATTCCTCCATCAATTTGGCAAAGTATTACCAACAAGGAAATGTAACTTCAAATTTGAGACAAAATAACACATGTAGAAGAGTGAATTTAATCAAAGTAGTTTATGCCTTAGCTTGGTCATAAACTAATGCACATGAACTATTCCTAATTATTACAATTGGCAAATTAGTTCATTATTAATTTATTTTTTCTTTAAAGGCCGAAGTATAGTATCATTTAGTAAAGTTTCCTCTGATGTTATCCTTAGATTTATACAGGTTAACAAGAACAGTGAGAATAATAACTGTTATGTGCTTATGATCGCATTTTCTCTTGGGATTTGAAATGAGTATATGCCTTTATTTGGGTCTTTCAAACCATGAAAGCATATGCTTGAAGGCATCTCTGTTCAACCTGTTGTTTATGGAGAAGAGAGCTCATCTAAGGTGTCCATACTCTCAGCTTCCACCCCACACAATAGTTTGCTGTCCTCTTAGTTATGAACTACAATCATTTGCAAGGCTTGCCATAACTGGATATACATCCAAATAACCATTCAAAAAGTGTACTAGGCAAATCACTTCAGTTAGAAAATACAGTTCATATAGTGATCCAAATCTCTGCAACAGAAATTCCTGCAAGGAGCAAGAATTTCTTAAGCTAGCTTTGCTGACAAGAGATAGGAACCATAGCCTAAAATGCATAGCAAGTAAGTACAGGCTATGCTATTAATCACAACGTGCAGAAGCAAGCCAGACTAGGAAGACAGGCAACAAAAAAGCCATCTCCCTTTACTCTGTCTAAATGTACTAAGGACTGTAGTTCATCTGTTTCGAAAAACAAAGGCATATTCTGAATCTGAATTAGCTAATTGGAGTTAAAAAGCAATGAAGCCAGGCCAATTTTGGTTTAAAGACAGGTTAACAATTCCTACATTGTCTATAGATGGGAACTTGAGCTATGAACACTACTGAAAATTCAGGCTGACTTGTCATTGTTTTCAAATCAAATTCTCTGGTTGGGCTAACCAGCACAGGTAAAGATACATGTGTGTATATATAAATATGTGTGTATACTCATGTTTTTGGCAATATAGACCACCAGAATATGATTAGCTATGAGCAGGAGACAAAGCAACTAATGGCTATTCTTCCACTCCAGTCACAGGCTCTAGCCAGGTCACAGTTATCAAGGCACTTCTACACACGTTTCTTCTTGCCACTCATACTCCTCTACCCCAGCATCCTTTCATGGAGCCAGTACCAAGGCCTATGGGGCTACCTGAAGAATTAGATGCAGACATTAATCTGGGCTAAAAAAAAAATTCTTTTTGGATTTTTTTAAACTGGGATCAGCTTTGTGTTCCATATCATCGCTGCACCCAAAAATTATTGCACCCTGACAACTGATGGTACATCATCAAAGTCAGAATGCATAAGTGGGCAAGAACTACTTAACCTCCCTTTGCTGCCACTGACAGAACTATCTGGCTAACCTTTTTCTCAGGGTGGCTACATTTCTCCTGTCTTCCTGGCAGACCTGCCCCATAGCTCATTAAAATAATTCAGTCTTAAGTAAGTTGCCTTAGGTCACTCAGGAAAGTCTATGATAGAACCAAGAATAGAAACCTGATCACTCTTAGCAAAGAATGGGATTACTTACATGACTAAAATGACTCGGTTTCTTAAGCCTTTGCACGTTTGGGTCTTCTTTTCCTTTTACAGAGAATATCTCTTGTGCAAAAAGTACACTACAATGTTTAAATAAAGTTCGGAAAATGCATTGCTAACATTAAATACTTTTGTTTTGAAATGGAAAGTTTACCTTACTGGAAGATCTGTATGGTAAGCATGAAAGGTAAAATTCTTGTTTCAAATTCCTACTTAAAGCAATTACTTCACATGTTTTCTCACATTCTCATTTTGATACCTTCTTTTTAAGAATTTTTCTTTTGAGATTCAAGATTGTTTATTCGGTATAAGTATACGCATATAACAGCATTTATTTTGCCCGTAGGTCTCTCTGATTTAACAGCCTAATAGATTGAGATTTGTAAAATATTTCCTCAGTGACTCTCATGTAGAACACGTAAGCATTTAATGAATAACTTAATTTCATTATGTTTAAGATATAAAATGTAAACACAGGGCTTACTTAATTGAAAAAAAGTTTTACGCTACAATGTATGCATAACGGTTTTGTTCATTTTATATAAACAGAAATAAAAAGAAAAAATATTCTTTCATAATAAATAAATAAATACACAATGACAAAGGTTACAATTGAAGGGATTACAAATGACAGAAGCCAACATAAAAACTTTCAATATCGTACTTTTACTTTAATATGAAGACATTATTCTCAAAGGAAAATACTTGAGAAACGCTTTGATAAAAATAATCTCACGCTATCTTTGAAGCGGTTTCATTTATTTTACTACCCACTGTGTTCCTTATCAGAAGGCCAAGTATAAGAAGTTTCCCAGTTTATGATTAGGAAAGAATCTGATAGATTAGAAGACTCAATTGAAGTTGGACATAATAAGTATTAAAGTATTACATGACATTAATCCTGCCATTCCATTACTCTCTCAATCATTGTGCACAGACTAATTATTCTGAAGCCAGTGTTCAGGAGAAAATAGAAACATACTTACACTGGGTTGGAGTAATCTCTTTATTGCATCAACAAGGCTAGCTCTGTACCGGTCCAGAAACAGGCTGACATTGAGAAGAGAATGGAATCCAGATTAAAATGGGTTTTCAATTCTAATGATACTAATGCAGATAAGTACAAGGCTAATTACATATGTTTACACAATGCTGTAAAAGAGAAACTGTGCTCTACATTTCTGTCCAGTTTAGGTACTTTTAAACGTTAAAAAATACATAAACCTAAATATACTCTAAATCAAAGCTAAAATACTAGCATGAAACAGATCTTTATACAGCTGAAATTCACAGATCACATATGCTAGCTATTAAAATATCAGAAATCAGGATCAATATACTAAGTTAACATTTTACATGGTTTTTTAATACAAAGGGGGTAGAGTTCTAAAAAGTATTTTATATTGCATTTCAGATGTTACTATTAAGGGTATTTTTTTTCCTTTTACCTTCACAGTCATGGCATTAATTTAAAATTATCTATTACGCATATTTTTTCTATTTATATATCTATCTATCCCTATAAATATTTACAAGCTCCTACCTCTTCTCTCCCTCAAACACTGTTCAAACACATTGACCCAGATCATACAGAGTTGTCCTCTCTCAGAAGCGAAATCCTTCACCTCCAGTGTGGGTCTCGCAAGGATAGCAGCAAAGTCAATTTTCCCAGGCGATGTTGCCAACATGCTCAGCCCTATTTTGGCATGATTACCTCATGATTTGAGGGGATAATTCATTCTTCATGCCCCACAGTACCTTGATGTATATACTAATAGTGGCAACCAGGGTGCCAATCACTCTTGACCAGATATTTGTGGACATGTAGCTACTGTGGATGAGAGTGCATTTACAATGGTTAGTGAACAGCCATTGGATAGCAACTGATGCCTTTCAGTCCTTACTACCGTGGGCTGCATTTATACTGGTGATTCCGATAAGAAACTCTTATCAAGCAGGTCACAAATAATGTGATTCTTTCTTCATTATTTTTCATGTTTTCTCTGTAGTAAAACTGCTTCCCAGCCTGTGTCAAGCTTAAGTTCCACACTATATGGTATTTTGTCCGTTATTTATTTTTTTCTATACTCCCCTTTCCTTTATTCTCAGACATCTCTTTCTGAATAATTTTTTTCCAGGTTAGAAATATAAAGAATATATGAAAGCACTGAAGAGAAAAAAGTGGTCTGCCAGCCACCTGCCAGTCATCAAGAACAGAGTATATGTGGATATTTAGGTAAGGACACTCCACAGCTACCAAGGAGAATACAGTATCATGTATCATAGGGTCAAGCAGCTGTGTAAGAGCTGTGAAATTTTGCTACTCAGGAAAAAAGAAAAAAGCCTATCAGAAAACTTGTCAGTGACTAATTTTAATCAGTAAAAACTGGCAGAACCTCACATTATTGAGAGAATATGGTAGACTGGGTATCCATACATTTCTTAAATAACATTTTGTATAGAAGTATGGCCTTTTGAATTTCTTCTTAAGATACTGAATTTCTTCTTAGGATATTGAAGTACTACCTAACAATTTCTCTGATAGCCTGCCCACAAGAAAATTTAAACTTTAGCGGTTGGTATGATGGCTGCCCCTCAGCCGTGATTAATCTTACTGGAAGAACCTTACTGAAAAAATGCTTGTTTAAATTTAATTCACTGAAACAGCAGCTGATATCTTTAATGTCTCCTGGGAGTTTTAATCACATTCACCTCAGGTAGATCCCTACACAGATAGATACCATAAGCCACTACTTCACTGGGAACTTAGCCACCTGCAGAATAGGTGGAATACAGTGCATGAGTCCTCTCCCAAAATAATCGCTAAAAATAATTAATTTTCTTCAACATAAAACATTGCAAGCATGCACATATTCATGATGAGATCCTGTGTAGACATCAGTACATTCCAAATGAAAAATGCACTTATAATATTTTTATTTTTGAAAGCAGTGTAGTGGAAACACAATTTTGGGGCAGCTTACCAGTACTAAAATCCTTTTTCATGCACCTGCATACCATTCTCTCTTTTTTACAATGAGATAGGGGCACAACTACTGCTACCAATCTTGTTCCTTTACAATGAGAGAATGACAGGCCTTTGTTCACCAGAAACTGAGTGTCTGAGAACTTAAAATGGTTACGTGACCTGCCAAGAGATTAGACAACTTCAATAACAGCTTTTCTGTCTGACCCCAATTGATATTTTGGTGGCATGGGAAGTGGACTCTTAGCTTAGGAAACCCAGATAACCTGGGACAGTTGCCCTGGCTCTGCTCCCAAGTGGTCCCTGCCCTCCAAACAGCTTGTCTCTGGGAACAGGACCTACTTAAATTGAAAATATTCTCCAATATTGTGATTTCCAGCCTGTTGTTCTGTGAGCAGAGGTAGGAGAGAAGGCTGGAAGCAATGTTAATGCAATGCAGTGACTCCAGGGAACATCTCTATCCTCCGAGTGAGACGACACCTTGAATGAGGAAAATCCTGAAGAAGTTGTTAGATAATCTGTGCTGCAGACAGGGCCAGCACAGGATTTGGCCCACGCAAGGCGATTTAGTCACGCAATTTCTCTTACTAGCAGCATTTGTATGACTAAATACTATCACAGCATACTGAAAATGTACCCAAGAGAATCCTTTAACACTCACCAGAGCTCAGTGAAATTAAATGTATTGTATTTGCACTCAGTTCTCATACCTCAATTCAAATTTGGCTTAGGTTGCCATTACTTTGTGGTAATGTCTCATGTTTATATAGTAAGGATGCTGTGAAAGCATGATGATTTGGCCTTTGTTTAGGCAGTGCTCTTAACCTGTGAAATTTGGATGAACAGAGCAAGGCAATCTTGTCACCTCTTTCTTTTTTTAAAAAAAATTAAATTACCATAAAAACCAAAAATAAAGTTTACACAAAACCTGTATTAAAGTAACACTAAATCACAAGGAAACAAATTAAAAAAAACAAGCAGATTCTCTGTTTGCCTCATGCTGATATGTTTTATCCTTTTATTTCATCCCTTGCAAAAATGGGCATATATTTTACACATTACGATGTGAACCTATTTTCCTTTTTGCATACTTTGCCATTGGTAAAAGAGCTTAGTTTCTAGGTGTGCTTCAGACACGATTACATTCATGTATAGTGCCTAGTGTATAGAGACATTTTTCTTTTTGTTGGCCTTCAACTACATGGCTGACATAAACTGAAAAAACCCTTACTTCCATGTCGTCAGATTCCAATGCACTTGGAAGTGTGTGCAAGAAATCAGGCTTAAAATGGACGACAAATTTAAACTGAAGAAGGACAGAGACCTTACTGCATTCCTG